AGTCAGTTCGTCGCGGATCTTTTAAGGTATAGGACGCATACAGATGGATGTAACCCGTTGATTGAGATTCAATATTTTTCAGTTTTAAGGCCTGCACATTTAAATGCAACCACACATACAACAATCAGTTTATATCCACGTACGCCGGGTGTATGAAAGCGAACACATCAGTGTTGCGAGTCTGCATGTGCCGCAGCGAGCATATGGCGGCATTGGCGGCGGGCGGCGGTTGGAATAGGCAAACCCACAACACTGCGGCGGGACCCCACTGCATGGGCCTGGAGCTCACGCCTCACAGCTCCCCTGTGCTATTTCACCCAGCACAAGGTGTATGGAGGCCAGGCATCTTTGCTGCTGCTGGAATGAGGTGGTCAGAGGGCAAAGGTGTATGGCATGCATACACCTGGGTGCAGCTCTGGGAGCCATCCACTTTCGACTACACTGATCCAAGATGCACGCGTGCACACAAGCCCGGCTCGGCTCGGGAGCGGCCGACCGCCGCCCAGACAGTCCCCGAGCAGCGCCGAAGCGGCTTCGTGCCAGCGACTGTCAGACTGGAGCGCAAGACTGCACCAGCACCATTAGGATAGACTAGGAAGGACTTGGAAAGTCCAGTGGCTCCGCCATGAGTAATATTCTAGCTCTAATCTACATGTCAAGTGCACTTCCAATCATATGACAACCAGTCAGTGTATACCCGTTTCTGTAGTTTGGGTAAGGCTTTGCCTTGTCTTGTATCGCCACTTGGTAAATATTCCAGTTCTGGTCTACATGTCAAGTGCAGCGATTTTCCAGTCACTTCCTATTATTTGACAACCAGTCAGTGTAAGAGCACCGGTTTCTGTAGTGCGGGTAAGGCTTGCCTTGTCTTGCACCGCCATGCAGGGCAGGCCGACCCGCAAGACACGGGTGCGGGTGTGGTTGCCTACCCAGGCGGGCTGAGAGCGTCGGACAAGCAAAACCAAGGCGTTTCACTGTAATTCTTGATGCAATGAAGACTACAAATTTAGTGCAATAATTTGTTATTGCATTAAATGCG